ATCGGTTATTTGCACTGGGACGAGTTGCCCTCCCTTGTGCAAATAACGTCCCGTAAAATGGAATGCGGCTGCTTCTCCTTATGCGACGCTCTCCTTTTTCGGATATGAACGTCAAGCCAGAATAATGACTGAAAAATTTCGCATTATTCGTAAAATTGTATTTAAGCCGAAATATATTTTCTCTGTATAAATAAATTCAAGTCTATACAAAAATAATTAGAATTTTTCTGCAATATAAAAATATATTTTTAACATTTTTTTCTATGAAATAAAATAATTCAATATAGAAAATAGGATGAGTAGGGGGAAGCACTGCGAAGAAAAATAATATGTTCCGTCTGATCGAATGTAAATCTCGTTGAGGCGCTTTTTTAAACCGAGCGAATTGATTCAATTGAGAAACCGAATGGATCGCGACACGCACGTTTATAATAGAAGCGATCCAGCTGGAGCCTTTGCAAGAGAGCTGCGCTTTCGTTTCGGTTTTCTTACGTGCTCCGCGTGCCGGATAAAACGTGATCTTCCTTTTCTTCGCGATCTTGATCTTACGCCGGGGCAAGAACCCCTTCGATCAAATCGCAACGCGCGAAGATGCATTACTCGCGCGTGTTGTCCGCAATTTTGTTTTTTCATCTTGATCATTCTTTGCTAGCCTCTCACTTTTGCATTTAACCATCTCACGTTGAATAAAAAAAAATATATATATGTTACAAAAATTAATTATTTTAATACATAATGTATCTCTATTATATATACATAAAATATTATTTATTTCAGTATTATATTAAATGATGTGATTTGTAATTAAAAAAAATCTTAATAAGTTTTAAAGGTTTTAAAATAGCATATAAAAGTTAACTGCGTATAATGTATAATGTAATGAATGGTGCGATAAATCTGGAATATATATATATATTATATATGACTCTATTTTGGAAATCGCAATATAGGATAAATATAGATCAATATAAATATCGCAAGATGAATATTGTGAGATAAATGTAACAATATTAACTTGGCCTTGGTGCAGTGTCAATTATTTGGTGGCACATTGGTTGATTGAATGCTTTTTATCTCACTATGCAGAATTATCGGGCAAGTCACATACCATATCTGATCTTATCTGTTGATAATTGGCAATTGAGTTTTTCAATCAATTATAATGAATTTGTTTTGACTCTTTAATTTTAAAATAATTTAATAAAAATAAACTGAGAAGGAGAAACTTATTAGAAAAGACTTTTTCTATTAAAGAAACTTTTTCATAGTTTATGCTATATATTTTTTTTATTTTATGAAAACTTTTAGAAGTTTTACACGATTGATAGAACACATTAAAAATTAAATAGTTATAAATAAAATAATAGTTTTCAGCCAAGGCTTTGTCAAGGGAGATAAATAATTTTAAAGTCATCACTAAAGATAATTTTACTATTGTATGGAATTCTTAATGTCTTGACTTCAATATTATTTTTTTTTTACCGCGAAGTAACAGGAATTAATTAGATAAGCAAGAATATAAAGATAAGTACATGCAGAGGCGCCAAGAAAAATGTTTACTAGCCCAGTGGCGACAAGGCAAATATTTTTATCGGTTCGTGACCGATTTTCACAGACCGAAAATACGTTTTCCATCAGATCAGAAAAATTCAGACGGGATGGATAAACGCCAAACGGTGTAATGTAGCTGAACACATTTTTCACATCGAAGTGAGAGGAGAAATTTTTTTCTCCTGTATTTCAGTTTTTCGCGTTACTAAGACAAAGACGTTTTGGCGCGAGTTCAACGACTCGCGACATCGATCCGTCATCGATTACAGATAAAGTGATGCAATGAATACCCATCCACGAGAGATTGATACCCCTGACCTTACCTTATAGTAGCGATGCACGTGATTAGTATGTAAAAGGCATGCTTTTAACGGACGATAGTGACGTGCGGCTTTTCTGAAGGAATATAGTCATGTATGCTTCAAGCATAATTCATACATGGATCTCTGTGATGTCGATTAAACTTCTTAGATTTTCTCCTTCAATCTTCTTCCTCTTAACTATGTAATCTACTCGATTCTGATATACGAGATTTAATGAAAGATTACGATATGAAAATACTCGAAGATAAGTCTTAAAATATACATTTACATGCAGATATACACTTTTTAATAACTTTCATTTTTCTAAAATATTGATGGATATATAATAATTCATAACATTCTCAAATCATTCTCGAGACATATTTAATTTATTTTAAACAGTCGTGCAGTTTTAAAAAATTTGCAGTCGCATAAATTCAAAGAAAATTAATTGTGCCGCAAATCCATTCCAGATGAAAAAAGGTCGTTTTAAACGAGCAGAAAAAATAATTGAATACCATTGATACCTTGAGAAGCGGTGCAATAATGCACGACGATAACTTCCGGTCCGACAAAGCGATCCCGTTTGCTTTAACGGTAATAATAAATTTGGAACGGATGTTTTTTTTTTATGCAAGGCCACACACGCCAATTCCTGCGAATTTTCATCCATTATACCTGTCAGCCGTGGCCACGCTTATCTACTTAAACGGTGTCCATTAAACCGCGGAACTTTTTCAACTCCTCGGATATAAATCGCAATTAAATCTGTATTCTTACGTTTTTATTGCATGCACGATAAATTGCGTTGTTTATTTAGGTAGTTGTCAGTTAACCTTCTTAATATCGGACGAAGGTAAAAACGAGGCATATAAAATTTGAAACGTCAGCTAAGTTGCACGTTTAGCGTTTCTTAAATTTCATAACGTGAAATAAAGAACAAAATGTCATAAATAAAAAATAAATATATACAAAAATAAAAGTTAACATCTATAATTTTTTCCAGACAAAATTGTGCCTTTATCTTAAAAAAAAAAAAAAGAAACATTATAGCAGAAGTAAGATTTCTCTCTTGATATTTATTATATTTCTTTCTTATACGTATGAATATTATTAGATATGGCAATCACCGTAAAACTTCACATTATCCGTTATTCCTCATTAATTTATAATTAAAACGTGTAGGAAATACATGTAGGTGGTAGATATAAATATGTACGTGCAAGTGCAACATAATTGCAGTTTTTACTTATTTATTTATCTATGAGCAATAAATGGCTAGCAAACAAAACTCTGTGAAATTTATTGATTCGCAAAACGTCGCGATATTTGTGTATTATAACGATCAGCTCCGGTTATTATCATGTACATTTTTCATTGATATCAATGGGAAATTCGTAATTGGCTTAGTAATACACAGGGCTTTTGAAGTGTATTTAAAACGGCTTTAGCATAAAATGAAACATACGCATAATAAACTGTAAGAAAATATGAAACATAAATAGCCTTTGTATGCAAGTCACCAGATGCCTCTATGTATGTATGTGTGTGTTCATTATTTTCTCACCATTATTTCAATTCACATTTTCATCGTACATGCTAAATATCTTTTTGAATTCTTCATTTTTGAATTTAACTTAATTTTGCAATATCAACAAAGTATAACAAGAAAACTTTTTAATGTCTTTTTTTCTTCGTAAGTTTCTATCAATTGTGTGATATTTGTATATAATACTTTCAATGTTAAACCAGAATATTATATATCATTAAATACCTATCGTTAAAATTGCTCATTATTATTATAACTCTTCATGAATTTTATAACTTTAAAAGAAGATTAAAAAGAGTCGTATACGCGATTTATATATGCGACGATGAAAATGCGTGTGGGAGAAACTCATGAGTCGGATTAAATTCATATTTCATATATTTAATTTAAACCTGATTTAACGGGAAAATATTACAGTACATTGATCTGACAGCGACTATGGATCATTTATCTCAAATCCGCCTATTTGTCACGATTTTATAAATAGCCTTACTATATTTTTTACGATTCGATAGTAAAAATATCGTCGAAATATGTAACATGATGTATTATTTAAAATGAATGAACGTCACAATTCGTCATGTATTGTCAGTATATAGTTAGCCGTAATTCTGAAAGATTTGAATAAAAGTCTGTTAGATAAAAAAATCAGAGAAAACCGAATTTTAAGTCTCGATAAACTAAACAAAACTATACTTTTCTTGCGATATATACTGACATTATTTAACAAAAATAAATAAAAAGTAATAGTAAGTGTATATTATATATGTTATTGTATCTTATCATTACATCATTATAGTTTATATTTTTAAAATAAAAAAATAGAAGAGCTATACAATTGCAATTTTCTAAATTATAAGAACAATAATGTATATACAAATTACAGTTGTTATATTTTAAAGTCGTATTGAAAATTGAAGATTTAAAAAATTATAACTTATTATAAACTTCTGTATTATTTTTTCGTGTTATTTATCCCACAATTTATTTTAATCCACGTAGTGAATCTCTCGAAATATCTTGTGCCGAAATCGTAAAATTGTTTCTCGCAAATGTTTTTTTAACGATCTACAATCTACAAAAATACAAGATACTCCCCTTGGACGTCGTCCTGCCTGGACCAGACGAGAGCCAAGAAAGAATTTTGCGCACATCGATCTTGTCGCTTCCGGTAGCGGCGCGACCGTTTTGAATGATTAGCGGCTCTCGCGAATTCCGGCAAATTTCATTCATCGGCGATGATGCACTATAAATAAATAAGATCGTGGCCGACAGTTATCGGGGAATGCGCGAACGTTCGCAGTAATTCACGCAGCGAGCCGCGTTTTGCGTACGTAAGTGCGTGATGCGTTCGTCGCACGAGCCGCTCGCTCGTAACTCGTGAAACGGGAGATCGTTAAATATCTCGTAGGATGAATCTAGCTCGTTAGTCCACGCGCAAGGCACTCAAGGGCAATTCATGCGATCTTTCTCGCAACCCAAGATTCGTACCGTTTTATTTATTTATGCACGTGCCATCCTTAGGCGTCGATTCTTGGTATTCGATTATTATTTTTTTTTTTTAATTCAAAAAGGTTGTCGCGACTCTTGAATTTCAGGGTGAGAGAAGGATGAAGAATGCCCCGTGCTGGCGGAGGAGATGGGGGTAGCGGACCCCAGAGAACGGGAGGGGGTGGTTTTGGAGGATGGCTGGGAGGTGCCGCGAGGGCTATGACAGGTGGAGGTGTCGGTGGTGGATACGTCATTTTGGGTGGCACCAGATACGGCCTGCGGATCTCTCAGGTATTGTGCAATTCATTCATTGATACTCATTCTTTCATTCATTGATTAGTTGAGTTAGAGTTACATGCTAGGGTTTTATTGAAAATATTTTGGAGTATAATATGAAAGATGATAGGATAATTTTAGAAAATGTTGTCTCAACAAGTAAAGTGACATTGTCAGAGATTATTGAGTTTATACTGTCTTTAAAGTTAGTTATAAAAGAAAATTTATATACATCTTTACTCTAGCTTGATCGTTTATCAGCAGTTTTTCAATCTAAGATTTATTTGAAATGAAATATTTTTTTAAAGCGATTTTAAGAAAATCAGATAAAATATTTTGGGCTTATTTAAAAATAAGATTCAGCGGAACGTACTATTACTGCACGAGAGAAAACTTGCGTCATTTTGAATTCCTTCGAATCCGGCTGTTCCCTTTGAGCTTTGACCACTGTTAACGACCTTCGATCGAGTCATGACGATCCACAACGAGATTAAGATGTCGAAGGATCTAAACTTAGAACCGATCACGCAAATAGAATCCGCCAGTCACTGACTCGAGCCGATTTTGCGGCGACTCTTCAATTCTCATCTCTGCTACTTAGTCCAACTTTCCGCCTCTCTTTTCACGGTTTTGTTCGAAATAATAAGCACCGTTGACGTCACACCACGACACGTACAACCAACGTGTTCACTGCCAAATTCTACCGAGATCCATATAAATCGACTTCAGCTATTTGCCGTCATGTGGATCAATGACGTCATTATTTCGATTCCGAAAATATTACCTTAAGCTTGGTGATATAAAAAAGATTGGCTGGGATTTAGGAAAACGATCGAGAGAAAACTTTATGAAACACGATGCGTCTTCAGCAGTCGAGTATACGCAATGGTGCACCTCGTCGTACGTCATTTTCTCACAAGTTTAAAAATACGAGATACATTTTAAGACAACACACGAAACGTAAAATATCCCTAAGGACCGGAACATAAGAGAAATGGAAGGAAACGAAGAAAATACTTTGCCGGAGACAGAGAAATAAAATGGACACGAAGACTACATGTTTACGAAACAAGAAGAAGTAACGAAAATATGAGGCATCTTGAAGAAACCAGTTGTATAATTCTATTTTCGAAAAAATTGAGCGACAATTTTTCAGCATCTCAACTGAGTCTTTCGTCTATCCCAACCTTACAAATTCTAAATTAAATTCTTAACGGCATTTTCAATCAATGAAATCCACAATATTCATGTATTTTACTGAATTATACTTGAATATGAAAAATGTTGGAGCGCATGCACCGTATTTTTTAAAATATTTTACAAGAAAAGAAAATATTATAGCAACGATATTTCTGATGAACAAATTAATCAAGGATAGAAATTGCTTTACGAAGAATACAAAAAAAAAGATCGGCAATGCTTATTCCAGGAGAGCCTGCCGCCGACCAATTCCAGAGAGGAATCGTCGCAGGAGCATCGGCGAAAGCGGAATTCGCGCGAGAGCGACTCGCGGGAGCGACTGACCGAGAAACCGGCGGAGAAGCCGCCGATCGATCTGGCCGATTGCTGCTGCATCGGTCCGCGATCGCGACTTCCGCTCCCGCGGATCCAGCCGACGGTCGGTTCCCCAACCATCTCGATCGCGTCCCCGATGACGTCCGTGACGTCGTCGTGCCCTTCGATCGTCGTCGGCGGTTGCTCGCCGCCTCTTCCTGCTTCTATCGCGAGCGTCGCGGAGACGACGCCGCCGACGTTCGCTAATAATAGTCACGGCGCGGTGCAAACGTCGGCGGGCAACATCGGCAGCACCAGCCAGCAGTCGCAGCAGAGGCAGCAGTCACACCACCACCAACATCATCACCACCACCACCATCAGCAGCAGCAGCAGCAGCATCATCCGCAAACAGCGGCGGTGACGGCGGCGGTAACGTCGTCGTACCCGCCGTCGACGACGACGCCGTCTTCACCCTCGACGTTGCTCGGCTACTCGTCCGGCATCCCGACGACGACGCAGACCGTTTCCGTGCCGCGGCAGCTCGCGCAGTGGACGAAGCATCAGACGCTCAAGCTTCAGGTACTCATCGAGAATCGAGGATTTGTCTCTTGTTGACGAGTCGTTCGATTTATTCGATCGGTTATACTCGTCGATCGTTCACGTTTTATTTCTTTTTTTATCGCTCGCGAGTGGATCGTATTTTCGCGATATGGCCATTCGATCGTTCACAATTCGCGCGAGATTCGAGCTTCGCGCGTAGACCCGCGTGAGGTGCGAGAGGTCGTCGCAAGGGATACAAGGTGGAGTGGCTTAGGTCCGGAAGACTCTGTGTCAGCAGCCCCGAGGTAAGTCTTCAAGGTCATCGTCGAGAAATTTTATCTTTCGGACGGTAAATATATACTATAGCCATGGCAGACTCTCTCGTTCTTGAAAACAGATTCGATATCTTTGAAAATCTTTGTACTCAAGAAATTGTTCATTTTTACCGTCGATATTGTGTTTGAAGAAATTAACAATATTGAAAAAAAAGATATCATTTTTTTAAACATCTTTAAGCCTATTTATTCTTTTTCCAAAAATATTCAACAGATGTTTGAAATATTGACGTGTCGAACAAATATATTTAATATTATTTGATTAACAAGTTTGACACAGTTTTCCTTGCGTCTGAAGAAGCTTTATGATCAAACTGCTCTTTCCACTGTGGACGAGAGAATCTTTTTTGCATTTTTACGAGACTGTCAGAACGCATCCACTTTACTTCGAAACAGTCTCTTCATCGTGCCAGGAAAATTCGTCAGCTTTGCAAAGAGGCTGTGCCAAAATTCACGCTTGATCTTTTCGCGCGCACATATTCCCTCCGTCTCGGTTTCTTCATTTACTTTTTAAAATCGTGCACTCGCGCGTCCGCCCGATTTTTGGATCGCCTCGCACGCGCAGCGGCACGTCGTCGTTCCGAGGGGGAAAAGATAGAGGCGACGAAAATAGAATATCGCTTCTTTTTCGACTAGACACTTATGTACATACGAAATGTCCTGGGCCTGCCACTTGGTCGCGATTACGTCCGCGCGACATCCTCTCGCAAGCGCGATATCAATCGTTACACAAGAGGGTTGCATGCTTTTGCGTTTGTGAGAAAATTGCATCGTGTTCATCAGTATAATTTTTATTCCACATTATTTTTATCGTTATTTTTAATAATGATTAGGAACAAGTTAGAGGAGTGCGTCTTTAAACAGCACTTATTTCAGAGAATTCAATCAGAGAATATATTGTTGATCAATAGACGTTTCAGTCAGTTCGATTAAAACTATTTCTGATTCACTTCTGATTTAGTTCTCTCTCTCTAAATAAGAAAAATATATTGTATAAACTTAGAATTTAATTTTTAAAAATATGGGGAAATATTTTTATTTGACGACATTATATATTTGTTAATAGAAGATTATTTAGATATTTTTTAATCGGTAAAATGTTTCAATATCGATACTCTCTTCATTAAACGTTTGTGAAAAAATATTCGTAAAAATAACAAATATGTTGGATTAAAATTGTGTTTCAAAAAGGAATTTATATTTTATTTTGAGAAGATTACTTCGTCTAATAAAATTACAATGTATAACATTGCAATTCTCGAATTTATATAACTGAATATAAATCCGAAAAGAAAGAAGATAAATTAACTCTATACAAAATAGGTAAATTAAATGTCGACCAAACTGGCTATACTATAAACGAACTTGTTAAACGCACAACATTTCGATCATTGTTTGCGGTCCTCTTCAAACAATAATCGAAACGTTGTGCGTTTAATAAATTTGTTTGTAGCCAGTTTGATCGACATGTGATTTACCTATTTAACATTTAACATTTTGATAAATTAATTCTCTTTCAATAGTTTAAATCCCTAATTTAGCCCATTTTAAAATTAAAGATCGACCGATTAATTCTATCAAATTTTACTGATATTCGAGTCATTGAACATAAATAATCGAGAGTGATAAAAAATAAACATTTGTGTATTTTTCACGAGTTTATTGTTATCTACGTATATCGAACTGTTATCGAAATTGCGAAATTTATTTGTTTTTCCCTGTCAGGAACCAGCCGTGATAGCGGTGGACCGACTGCACAGGTTTCGCTGGAGCGGGGGCGGAGGAGGAAGTGGCAAGAAGTCCTCTTCCGGCCCCCGCAGCGAGAAGGCCGAGCGCCTTCGCGAACTTACCGAGAAACTCAAGGGACCGGCACCGGTTCCGCCACCCAGGAGACCGTCGCGGGTCCAGGCTAACTCTCCTCCTCCGAGCGGATACCAGCCGTCGTCTCAAAATTATCCACAGGTGAGGAATTCCGAACGTCACATAGTGACGAAGACACGACGTGTTCTGTTTGCGCACGAATGATATTTTTTGCTCCACTCCATTTTTTTACATTTTCATATGTCTGTTTTTAAATATATTGCCAAGAAGAAGAAAGTCTACTTATAATAATATAATATAATTATATATATATAATATATATATATATTAATATATATATAATATATATATTATATATTAATATATTAATATATATTAATATATATATTAATATTATATATTATATATTATATATATATATGATATATTATATTATATAATTATATAATTAATAATATACATCAAAATATTGACTAATATTAACGAAATAATTATTTATTATTAAATTTTTATATTTATATTTCGTATTATATCTATATGATTTAGTAAAGTTTGATTAATTACTTTTTTGTCAAGATAATTAAAAAAATATGAATCACTATTCAATGTCTAGAATATTTTATTTTTACTGTTATATAAGAGTATGGTATATTGGAATCATTTCAAATGTACTCTTTAAAAAATAGCCGATACACTCCTACTTCTCATTAATGAATCTCAATGCCCATCTTGTCGCTCGTTCCGAGAAGAGTTTTGCTGAACTTCACGATTCGCGAAGCGCCTTTGTCACGATTTCGCTGAACTCGGTGCATTCCAAGACGCGTATAACGATGATCGCTCTCTCGCAATCTACACATAGGGACGCACGCACAAGGAATAGTGTAATTGTCATTCTATTCATTATCATAATCATGTATTCTCTACTATCTACTATATATTTCTCGCCATAACGTCATATAGCAGGAACATCATTATATAACTAGAATTAGTCGATGTAACGTAAAGTAAATTTCAATCGATAGGTCAAAGGTCATTCGAAATTTGCGTGACTCGGCGTTACATTCATTAATCCTCGTTACGATGTAACGATGATACCACTGATATTATATAGCAAGATGCTTATTAAAGGCAGCGGAGAATAACAGAGGTCAAAGGTTATCGGAATAATATTTTAATCACACATGATGTATAAATCATTACCTCTAATTTATTGCCTACGTAACATAACACATTTAATTAAAATCTACCCACAAATAAAGTGGGCGTACAATACGAGAATATACAGGAGAGAGTGTGTATACATATGCTCCCGCCAGATTTATAACTCGACACGAGAAACTTGATTGTACAAAATTCCTTTGGATCTTTCTCAGACGGGCTCAAATCCAGGTTGCGGTCGCTGCGATGGTCGTCCATCTCATCGCAGCTTCACATACAACGATACCGGTCAACATGGTGGCAGCAATCAACAACTTCAGCATCAGCAGCAGCCACAGAAGGACCATCCGAAGACGATCGTCCGCAGTGAGAGTGTCAGTGAAGAGTGTCTCAGTGATCGATCGGGAAACGACGCGTACCGAAAGTCCTGCCACGACTCGAGAAGGCCCTCGAGAACAGGCAGACCCGAGAGGAACAGTGGTGACGTCAGTGACCTCAGGAGCAAACAGAACGCCGATGCGGAGGCGGCGAAGCACTTGAGACAGTACAGTGATTCCGTGGTGGACAGTGCTACGAGTGTGGACGATCTGTGCGATAACCTGAACGCCGCTTCCGTCGGCGGCGAGGGAGAGGCCCGGGATGCCATAACCACGTTGGAACCGCGTGGGCTGCTCGCCTTTCACAGGGCCGGCGCACCCTTTAGGAGCGCCTCCTTCGGCCAGGTGGACTTTAATCAAGGTAAGCTTCCGTGTGCCGTGACGACCGAGCTCGTTAAGAACGTTCCAAGGTCTAATTAAACCAATTACACAGAGCGAGAGATGCAGATTATGTTTTACCGTAAGATTGACTTCGTCGTCATTGAAGTAAGAGAGAAATTGGAGAACGTCCTCGTGCGCAATTAAATCGAGCTCTTGGTTGTAGAATTTGTTTTTTAAAAAGCACGATGTTTTTCGTGTAAATATTTCTTTTTTTTTCTTCAAATGAGCTTTATAATTTTAATTACAACAATTTTTAAATTTTCAGAAAATTAATTGTAGAATTGAAATAACGCCACGCGATAGCCTTGTATTAGATTTCGACCCTGAACTAAATAATAGTTTTGGTTGCATAATGGAGAGCTAAAAATAAGAAAGGCGTAAGTGCGGCTGTCAATAGAGTTCGAACTTCTAATGACAGATTCAATAATATACATCTCGTGCTCTTGACCTGTATACACTATTTGCTTAGATCATCATAAAGCAATCGTTTCATACGTTATCTTTAATAAGATCCATACTATCATTGATTAAAATTCCACGTAATCTAGAACATACCGGCTCTTATTGAAACGAGGAAAGATGAAAAAAAATACATTTTTATATTTCTTAATAAACTAATTTTATTGTTAAAATGCATATATATATATATTGGAAAAATATTGTATTACTAAAGTATTATAAATTAATTCTGTGGTTCAAGTAAACGTATTATTAGAAAAAAGTAGTTAATTGAGTAACGATGTATAAAAGTTAGCGAAATTCTGACACCTAAGGTGCTAAAACATGACGCTCGGTTGGCAAACCGGAAACACTTTGCGCTTCCGAAGCAACAAATCTTTCGAGACACCTTTTACGCACGAAAGACGGCTGTTGCGAGCGCGGATAACCAGATGCTCCTGAAATATCGTCGCCAGGATTTCCGCGCTTGCCCAAGTTTTGTCTATCCGCGATTTGGCGTGTAAGCCAAATCTATTTATTTGATGCTTATACTGTTTACGTTATACAAAGTTTGCAATTGACACAATTTTAATTAAAAATTGCCATTTATTTTTTGTTATAAACACTGCATTTCAAATCAATCGAGTAATTGAGTTTAATTAAACTTAATTATTTATATCAATTGAATAAAATTAAGAAAGAAATGTGGAAAAAATATCCTTTATTTAAAATTATATATATATATTATATGATACAAGATTTTTTTGAATTTATTAATTGCAAAATTTGAATTTGACAAAATTATTTCGAATTATTATTCCTTCTTCGATTTGATTGTATACACGTAGAATAAAATTTTGTATATACTTCTCTTAATTGGTCAGCACGTTCCCCGGAATTCCGCCAACGAGATACGCGCTGTTTCGCATCTTCGAGATCTCCTCTCGTCTCGCACGGTCTGTTTGTTATTATTGGAATGGTCCACCTCCTCGACCTAAGAGCGCTGCCAAACTTACGTGACACTCGAGGCGGTAATTAGGACTTCCTCCGGTGCTCTCTCATCTCGCGGCCGAGAGACGGCCTCACTGTGTTGCTCGGTGCAACTGTACTCGAGTTATTATTAAAAACGGTCGCGCGTAATAGGCCTCTGGAATATATAATATATCAGACGGATAGTATCACTCGAATTTATGAATCTGTTTTTTTTCATAATGTCATTGCCCTATTTCTCTTTTAATTTTTATTCCAAGAAAACGATTTTTTATTACAGTTAAATAATATTATAGCAATTGTCACAGAAGTATTAATTTTTTATATACATAGTTAGAAATGTGTCATATTTTTACTTCAAATTTTACGAGATAGAATAATTATTTTTTTATAACATTGCTTAGGACTTATTGTCTATATAATAAAACTGTTGGCTATTCAATTTTCTCTAAAAATAATTGTAATATTTTATTTATTATTTTTCATTTACATTAATGTCAATATTTTCTCGCAGAATATTTTAATTAAGAAACTTTAAAATAAAGATGAAACGAAGGATAATCTTATACTAATTTCTCATGAATTTCTGCAAGATGCAGATTTTACTTTCAGCGCGAACTCGCACTTTCCTCTTGCAGTGAATCGACAGAAAACTCAGCCGATCGCGACATCTAATCGCTTCGAGATTAAAGACGTTCGCGCAAGCACGTTACCCCGTCGTCGCGGTGACGTCACACCAGGTAGCTCGACACCCCAAAACAGTCCGAATCGACAGAGTCCGAGGACGTCGACCCCCAGCGTCGACAGCGCCGTCGGCTCTGCCGAAGGTCTAGGTGTAGTCTCTCAGCAAGGGAACCACGAGGAGATCCGACCCAGAAGCGATGGTTCGGACAGCCTGGCAACTTCCAGTGCGCTCACCAGCCCGGAACCTCTGGTCCCAGAAGTGAACGAGCCAAGGGTCGATCAAACAGATGCTCCCGTCGTGGAGTCGATCAGCCACGAATCGGTTTACCCGATTGTCGAAGGAACCACCGTGGAGGAAACCGTTCAAAAAGGTTAGACTCTTCAAGTGTGTATCAATAGCCCATGTTTTTTTTTGTTAAGGAGAGTTATGAATGTCTTTAATTCGAGAATTATTTTTCCTTATCTTTTTAATGTGTTGGAAATATGTGTCATGTTATTTGTTTAATTTTAATATTTAGGGAAGAGACTTTGGTATAATACAATTAGGATGTTATTATTTATTTCACTTTGTTTCGTCTTAATTTAGAATTGAACTATATATGTTAGCGGATATATCGATTTGTAACTGCGGCGTTATTTGAACAAGAAGAATCACGCGCTATCCCAACATCTCAGGTGCAATCTCTCGAAGAAAAAGAAAACAACGGTCGGATAGTTCGGAATCCCAAAGTTGTTAGAAAGCAAAGTTTCCGCTCGCCGTAGTGGATCGATTGTGTGCGTGAAAGAGATATCTCAGTAGGATATAAAACGGAAATACACTCGCGTGGGAGTCCGCGTGCGCGCGATGAGCAAGGGGTCTCTGTTTGCCTGAATTTCGCGCGCGTTGCTCATCATCATCGACGGAAGAGGAAGGAGGAAAACAACGAACCGGCAGGAAACGGACGAACAAGGCGAGGAGGACGGTGGTACGCGCGTGTATTGTCGTCATCGGTTAAGAAATGCGCGTCGGTTCATCATTTATTTTGTGAATACCGCGGTTCCAGTCGCGTGAATAGCGCGAGCGCGCGCGTGAAGTCATCAATGAAGATGGCTATAACTCAATGACGCTCAAACGTCTATTTCCACTCTCTGGCACCCACCGTTCTGAAAATAGTGCCACGCAAAATAACATGGAACTTAACGTGCACCTTTGTACCCGTGCTCCTGTCGATGCACCCAAAATAGTCCTCGTTCTTTCTCCCTCGTTCTCTCTTCGTTTCATCGTTATCTTTTGACATCGCGAAGTATCATGGTCGTCTATTCGATGCGACGACCATGACATAAACTCGATTCGATCGGATCCGCGCCGATCAATTCTCGTTCCGAATCTGTTTAGATTGATTTGACTTGGCACAAAATGTTAAAATAATTCTAAACTATTGTCAAATATTCTTCAACTCGCAGTTTGGAAAATTGAAAGAAAGTATATACATGTAAAGTATAAAATGTTCCATCAACATGAAACTCTAGAAAGTTAATATTAATTTACATAGTACCTATTAGAAGGGAAGATATATAAAGATTGAAGCTAATAATTTTTCAGGCTTCTAGTAGAGAGCGCGTGTACTTTTCTACTCCTATTCTACTATATTCTAATCCTAAAATATATACCAGAGAAAATATATATAGTTTTAAAGTAAACAAATGTTTCGAAACAATCTCACTTTACGGTTCTGTACAAAATACTTGGCGTTGAAAGTTTGTAGCTTAAGCTCCCTCGTAGTTTCTCTCTCCGGTCGAATACCAATTATAATTCTAATCGATCCATCCGTCTTAGACAAATGATATAGGAATCGTAAAATGATAAGGACGCAATTTTTAGAGACCAGAATAGAGCCGCACGAGGTGATCATCACACCACCCCCAGAGGAGCCGCGTCTGAGTCAAGCTAGCGAGGGCAGCGAGGCGCCGAGCGAGACGCCCTCGGAGACGTCCTCGCCGTCCGGCAAGTCGAGACGTTACCGAGGCGACACCAGCAAGAGGAGGAAGGGCGTGTACATAACTCAATGGCCGGAGCCCTTGGACGCGGACAGGAACAAGCTGTCGGCTCAAAGCAGCGAGGAGAGAGACGAGCCACCTGCGACGCCCAGCGACCTGTCCGACTGCGAGGGCCACACGCCTCGAAGGTAACCGGAGAACCTATGCTAAGATCCATCGAAATAGAACGGAAGTACGCCTGATACGCAGACGCGCGGATCTAACGCGCTCACAAACTCGCGTTAATAATAGCCTTAACGAAATAATTACAGTGTAAAGGGAAGAGTCGTCGCGTCTCGCTCTTTCTTTTTTGCCTCGTCTTCTTCGCGCGAGCACGAAATTTTCAATTTTGTGTTATCATTTTATTATCAGGAAATTATTATTTTTTTTTTTTTCATATATATATATATAGAATATTCAAAATTTTTATTTTATTCCTGATTTATATTACTCTTGCTGTACCTTCATTCGAAATTCAACAAATTTTACATTAATATTTAGAAATAGATTTATATCATAATATTGATATATGAATGATTGATAGAAATCAGGAATAAAATAAAAATTTTGAATATCCTATAAAAATCCTATAAAAATCCTAAATAAAAATTTGAATATTCTATATATATATATATATATATATATATATATATAATAAAAATTTTGAATATCCTATATATATATATATATATATAGAATATTCAAAATTTTTATTTATTCCTGATTTATATTACTCTTGCTGTAGCTTCATTCGAAATTCACCAAATTTTACATCAATATTTAGAGATATAATAGATTTATATCATATATATTGATATGGATGATTGATAGAAATCAGGAATAAAATAAAAATTTTGAATATCCTATAAAAATCCTATAAAAATCCTAAATAAAAATTTTGAATATCCTATATATATAGAATATTCAAATTTTTATTTTATTCCTGATTTCTATCAATCATTCATACATCAATATATATGATATAAATCTATTATATCTCTAAATATTGATGAAAAATTTGTTGAATCTCGAATGAAGGTACAGCAAGAGGCCTCTTCGCGGACCCTACGGACAGATGCTGGAGGCCGAGATGGCGAAGCCGCGCACCGCCGACATCGCTCTCGACGAGGGTCTACGTCCTCGCAGAAAGATCTCGGCGAATCTCTCGTTCAGCGCGAGCGGTAACAACAACGAGCCGCCTACGCCCTGCCACCACCGGACGACCTCCAGCCCGACGAAACTCGAGGGACTTCCGGGGCCGAGTCCCGAGCTGCTCGCGGAGTTGCTGAGAGGGTCCTCGGAGAGGGTTGCTCGCGCACCGGCGCATCGAAACGTGAGTCAGATTATCTTGCTTCGATATAAATTGCCGGTTACAATGCCCCGGCTGCATTTCGTCCATTTTTCGCGATACTGCGGAGATAAGCCGGAAGGGAGGGCCATAAAGTATTTGCACCGTTCGTGCCGGGCATTTGTTATCGAGACGTTTGATGCATACACAATGCGCACATTTTTCCCTTGATTAATGACCGGCTATTTCATTGGGAAATTGTCATTTTTTTTGTCGCTCTGCTGAAAGCATATAGATTGTCGTCGCATCTTGCGTGATATATAATACTTTTAATTGAGCGCGACAAAAGTGACAAGGAGAGACATTAATGTTGATTATCTAAATCTGGATACTACGGTTCGTATTATTCTAACTTATTAAGTAAAATATGCTGAGATATAAGTATACACAGCTTTTCATAGAAAGAAAAATGAAATTGTAATACTTATTTATTTAATATAATAACTCTTGTAATATATATCTGCTTTGAGAGAAGTAAATGATTTACAATTAGCTGTGACTGATTCTCAGCATATGACAAGCTCTTTTCATGATAAAACGAATAAATCTCTGGATGAGGCACACATTTCGCTCTAAATACGAGGCATGAATCCGAGCCAAAGAATTTTGATTCTGTTTCTTCCACGAATTTCGCTCCTCTTCTAAATACAAAAATGCTGAACGGGGTTATCTCGCCGTATCTCTCTGGCTCGCGCATCAGCGTCGTAACATCTGACCGTGAGAGGTCACAGGGAGGGAAATAAGCGCCGGAGTTGAAGCTGAAAGAGAGAGAAATCTCTGAAATTCAAGCGGAACGAATGGGGCCGCTCGAACCCGATGTTTCGCGTGCTTGTTCGACTCCAGCGCCGAAAACATAATCTAATAATAATGTACGGTCATATTTCTCGGATGAGTCCGTGCCTTGGCCAGTGCACTCGAGGTTGGTGTAGCGTCCCTACGCGATTCTGGCACGGCGGGGGCGTACACACGCGGATATTCCTGGCGGGTTAAGCGTATCTGGGAGACCGCAGCCTTCGAAGACGCGCTGATCCGCCGCGGGCGGATCATCTCGGTGCAACCTTCGCGACCTTGCGCGATACATGGGCTTATCACTTTGAATCTGGCATTTTTCTCGAGAAATTCTTACAATAACTCTGTTTCCAGAGGACTGTAAGAATTGAGAATTTTTAAATTTTTTATAAAATTTACGAAAGATTTAAAAAAAAAAAATTATTTCTTGGTATCAAATATCTTATCAAATATATATTATAGGGTCACTCTCTTATACACAGTAATTCTGATTTATTAATTTTTCTTAACCTGATGATATATTAATTTAAATTTGTTTGATTTATTACAATTTGTTATGTTTATAATTACGGTTTTATATAAATTGTCATGATAAATTAATTGTCATATATATTTCTTTTCTATTCAAATTATAATATACACGCTTTATTTAAAATATGCTCAAAGTATTTTCGACGATCTGGAAGTTATAAAAATACCTTGAATTTTAAACTGAAAATATAATAATAACACTGTGAGAAACAAGAAAAATGTATCGCTTTGACATTACATTTTAATTTATTAGCAGATATTACATCAAACTGAATTAAGATTTATTTAAATATTTAGATTATACTTCTTTATTTAAAAAGAGTTTAAAAATTCAAATTTTAGCGATAGCGAAATATAATATTTATCACAATTATATCGAAATATTTTTGACAGCTCAATTATGTTTGCACCATTATATCACGTTTCGCGATAGAATTTTAATGAGCTTATGCAATGCATATATTTTCCACGGCTATTTTGCCGATTAAAAAGAATAATAAAGAACGACGAGAGCGATAGATTCGTTTCATCCACAAGTCCTTGGTGGTTGTAAATATATCGTTTAAAGATGTCGTCATAAAATATAATCACGTTCTCCGCTCGCGTCGATTAGAAGCCAGATGGATCTTCAAGCTGCGATTAAAAGATTCGTTCATGATCTCAGGATCTGCGCGTGAAATGTGAAAACGTTTGCGGCTCTTAACGCGAGTTAAATTAATATTAGCAGCTTGGAATATTACGCAAGTGCGATGTAACTTAAATTTATTTCTATTTATAAAAGTATTTATCTACAAAACATTTAGGAAAAAGTGAAGAGGGAAGAATTTGTTGAAAAATGCATTTCCATATATGCAAAAAATGAAAAATAAATTTGCAAATATACAATCGATCCAATAACGAGAACGCACTTCTCCTTAGCGGAGGAGATATTTTATGAATTCTTCTCTGGGATTTAAAGCGCGAGCGAATCTTGATGCGAATAGTCGGCGAGATGAAGATTAATGAGGTTGTTCGAAGAATTTCTATCGTATCGTAACGATGCACACGCGGCGAAAATCAGTCACGGTAAAAGAAAGCAACTTTGTGTCGTTGAGAGAAAGCAGAATTGTTTATGTGACGCGAGGTGAAATGCATTTACGACGATATATCTTGCCGTGCACCAATTATAGCCATCACATACAAGCTGAATGTCGAATTCGGCCGGAGCTGATATTTTTTTCTCTTTTTTTTATTTCCATACATATAGTGACGAAAGCGCGCATGAATTCGCGATGCGGTAGATTACTCTGGATACGCGTCATTTGTAATACGCAGTCGCGTTTCCATCGGAGAGCAGCGACCTATTTCTTCCGCGGATACGGGAGACCCTCCGTCGACGTCATGTTTACCGCTGACGTCATTACGCCCAGGCACATCGTGAGTTTGCGTGCCATTCATGAAATCTCCGTCCGACGTAGAGTATGACGTAATACTAAACACCTACCACCATGTAAAGCTCCCGAAAGCACGTCGAATGCTAATATCATTTATGACTTTTTGCAACATAAATTTTTACGCACACTAATAGCTGCACATTTTCATATTTCCGTCAGAGACAAATGATTCTTGTGACGTAAAGATACATTGAATTTTTCAAGATTAAATATCCTCTCTCTGACGACTTCGAAAAAATGATATTTCTGTCGTAACATTTACATTATTTTATATTGCAACGAGACACGTAATTTTTAAATATAATTCTTAAACACATAACATTTTACTCTTCCTGATTATAATATATATAATTAATAAGAAATCGAAATTTTGATCGCGTAATATATAATTCCTTAGCAATAATTTCCAAATTTAGACTCGCACACACAGATCTTTTTTATCTCACATTTGTTCTCGTCCACATAAACAGAAATGAATATTCAAGTTACATGAGATATGATTCATATATTTAAGATATGCTCATATCATTGTGATCAATGGTACGCGCTTCAATTATTTAATATTGAAACAATAGAAATGCGCCAACGCGTATTTCATGAATACTCCGAGTTTCTTAGCGGAGCAAGTTTTCCTTGTAAACATAGTGTAAACGAAGTGAAACACACATATATATATATACGCGGGAAACCGGGCCAAATAACAAATTCTCTGCTTTATCGATGCTCGCATTATCGATGCAAGTTCAGAGAAGCTGCGGCGGCGGAGAAAGCGCGTCGGCGCGAAGAGATACGGACACGTGGAATAATGAAAGGCCGGCCATAAACTTTGGAACAATAGCGTAATCGTGGTTCCATTGACTGTTAAGAGGTGCGGACGCGGCTAAGCACGTGGGTGGTATCGGTAGGTACGGGAAGACTTTTATTACCCGGTTGTGTATCAGTCTCTCTCTCGGTAGACCGTAAAGGAATCTCGTGCACGCGCTTATATTAAATGCAGTTACGTCTGATACAACGGTATGCAGCGAAGTCTCTCTTAAACGAACCTCTCCTCGACAAGAGCTATTTTGATATCGAAATGATAGAAAAAAAATATTACGGACTCCATTTGGTATATAGCCTTGTAGTACTTTAAGCTTGCAGCAGGTCTCTCGACTCTTATTTATTTCTGTTCACGACTTTCTCATTAAAATAAGAGCGTAAGCCGTTCATATTTTTAGACAATATTCTTTTTAATAGAATTTATTATTAAACACATTTTTAATCGATGCATCTCGTAATAAATTGGCTTAAATCGTGATTGCGAGGAAAGCTCTCTCAATTTAAAGCCGGATGTTACGGAACTACACTCTGACTCTGATTGATTTTTCGAAGGCGCGCGAACAGGAATAGAGATCATAAATCAGCGACGCGATACGCAGCTTTCACAATATCATCTCTCGCGACATTTCGATCGGATCGAAGAACGATCGCGAAACGGCGGAGTGATGCGAAATCTATACATATATATATATATATATGCGCGCGGTGGACCAGGATGTTGCCGGATAATCTATGAATAAACCCGATGAGTGCAGGGCGCGCGGGTGCATGCAAAGTAGTTGTTGCACCATATTCGCCGCGTGGCACGTTACCGGGAAATATTTAAATATTTAACTTACACGTTATTACGCGATGCGTATATATATAAACCACTTGGCCGCGGCGACTGATGCCTATATGGTTTCGCAAGCGCGACCACTCGCCGCTGCGCGATATTTAATTCGATAATCGGATCGACCTTAAAATTCGAGGCGATCTTCTGCCCGTTGTGAGTAAACAGAATTGCATTTCCGAGTCGTTCGGACCATTGCCCGTCCCGTAAATGCATGCGCGTAATTTTATTATCGCACTACGAGCAGGATCTATTACAGGCAACTTGTTTGCTTGCGCGCTGATTTGCGAGATATTTTATATTGTTTACGCATTTTTCTGCATATTTTTAAATAAATCCAAAAGCGAGTACGGCTTAACGTCGTTTAAATCTGACATTAAGCTGTTCTTGATGTCACAATATAGTGTTTCTGGATAGAAAGGAAAAATGTTTAAAAATTTTTATCAACTCGAAAAAATCGAATGAGGCACTTTTAAACTTAGACTGCAAGAAATATTTAATTTTGTTTGTATTGAAGATCCTTGGAAATAATAGAAATGTAATGATATTAAAGGAAGCTCCATATATACACATGTGGATAA